AGTTTAGAAGTGAAACTTCCGACAATATGGACAGTTGAAAAGCAGAGGTGAGAAGAGTCAGAAGAGAAAAGATTAGAAGAAAGAAGATGCAGGTGCGCGAAAAGGTAGGAACGTCGCGAAACACTGTGTTTGTCCAATGATTTGTGGCTCCGGAGGGTCGAAAAGTAGGCTCGCTAAAGCGGCGGTGCGGAGCCAGCTGGCCAGATGAGACATGAAAAAGTGCACGCCGTTGTGGCGCGAAGCACATTTCCAAGTCAAAATGTACAAAAAACACCAGGTTCGGACCACTTTTGGAAGTTGCGATGTCGAAAAGTGCACGCCGTTGTGGCGCGAAGTACATTTCAAAGTGAAAATGTACAAAACACACCATTCTCGGAGCACTTTTGGAAGTTGCGATGTCGAAAAAGTGCACGCCGTTGTGGCGCGAAGTACATTTCAAAGTGAAAATGTACAAAACACACCATTCTCGGAGCACTTTTGGAAGTTGAGATGTCGAAAAAGTGCACGCCGTTGTGGCGCGAAACACATTTTGAAGTCAAAAGTGTTAAAAACTGGCGGTCTCGGACCACTTTTGGAGCTTCGGATGTCGAAAAAGTGTCGAAAAAGTGTACGCCGTTGTGGCGCGAAGCACATTTCGAAGTCAAAAGTGTAAAAAACTGAGGGTTTTGAGCCTTTTTTGACGTGAAGATGTTGAAAAAGTAGACACTGATTAACTTAACTAACTTCACTACCTTAACTTCGACGACAACAGCAACAGCAACAGCAACAACAACAACAACACCAACCACAACCACAACCACAACAACAACAACACCAACCACAACAACTACAACAACTACAACTACAACAACGACACGACAACTACAACTACAACAGCTACAACTACAACAACTACAACTAGAACAACTACACAGCAACTACAACTACAACTACAACTAGAACTAGAACTAGAACTACAACTACACAACAACTACAACTACAACAGCTACAGCTACAACAACAACAACAACAACTACTACTACAGCAACAACAACAACTACAACAACTACAACAACAACAGCAACAACTACTACTACCACTACTACTACTACTACTACTACAACTACAACAACAACAACTACAACTACAACAACTACAACTACAAAACAACTACATCTACAACATCTTCTACAACTATATGACTGCAACTACACTACACTAATTACATTACACCACAACTACAACTCCACTACGCTACAACTACAACTACAGTTGCAGTACATCACACTACATCCAGCAGTTGTGGGTGAGGTGACCACTGCAACCATTGCAACCATTCCAGCAAACACAATTCCAACCACCTTTCGGTCAATCAGTGGATTCGCTCTGCCATCCGTGATTCACAACAACCACGTCTCCTATAGGTTTCCTATTCTGAAACTACCGCCACCGCCTTGTGCGGTACTACTGGTGCTACAAACCTTGCACAAAGTACGTCCCAGTACTAGTTTGTGATACAAAGTTGGCACAAAGAAAGCTTTTACACACAGCAAGTTCTTTCGCAGAGAAGCTTGTACACACAGCAGGCTTTTTAAACAAGCTGGCACAAAGAAAGCTTTGACACACAGCAAGTTCTTTCGCAGAGAAGCTTTTACACACAGCAAGCTTTTTAAACAGAGAAGCTTTTACACACAGAGAAGCTTTTACACACAACAAGCTTTTACACAGAGAAGCTTTTACACACAGCAAGCTTTCACACACAGCAAGCGTTTACACACAGAACACTTACACACAGTGCTTTTACACATGGCAAGCGTATACACGCACACAGAAACTTTTGCACAGAGACGCTTTTACACGCAGAGAAGCGTTTACACACAGCAAGTTTTTACACACAAAATCTTTTACACACAGCAAGCTTTCAGACACACAGCAAGCATTTACACACAGAACGCTTACACACAGTGCTTTTTACACATGGCAAGCGTTTACACACACAGCAAGCTTTTTAAACAGAGAAGCTTTTAGACACAGAGAAGCTTTTACACACAACAAGCTTTTACACAGAGAAGGTTTTACACACAGCAAGCTTTCACACACAGCAAGAGTTTACACACACACACAGAAACTTTTGCACAGAGACGCTTTTAGACACAGAGAAGCGTTTACACACAGCAAGTTTTTACACACAAAATCTTTTACTTCACATTTCTCACTGCACTCTTCACACTCCACACTTCGCACTTCACACTGCGCTCTTCGCACTCCACACTTCACTTTACACTGCACTCTTAAGACTCCACACTTCACATTCCCCACTCACAGTCTGCACTTCTCACTTCTCACTGCTTTCTTCATACTCCACACTTCACACTTCACACTGCACTCTTCACGCCCCACACTTCACACTGCACTCTTCACACTCCACACTTCATCTCATCTGAGCTCTTCTCACCTTATCCCAGCTCATCTCTTCTCATCTCATCTATTCTCCTATGTCATCTAAGCTTTCATGAACCACTTCCCAGTACTACTTCGAGAACTTGCATGCGCCGTGCGCCAGCCAGGCCCGTGCGTGCGTGCTTTGTGCGAAGCTGTTGCCGTGTTGTTGTCCAAGAACATGACCTGCGTGCTACCCCGGTCCAATGCAACGTCAAGCAAACACTTTCCTCACACTTCACATTGCGCTCTTCACACCCCACACCCCACACTTCACACTTGCACTTCATCTCAACTCGTCTCATCTGAGCTCTTCTCATCTCATTTCATGTCTTCCCATATGTCAGCTAAGTTCTTCTCGGCTATTTTCATGTCATCTGAGCGCCGCTCAACCTTTCTCATCTCACCGAAGCTAGTCTTAACTCATCTCGGCTCTTCTGCACGTCAGACAGCTTAAGACACAGATGCATTTACACAGAAGAGTTTTTACAAAATAC